AAAAAAAAAAAAAAAAAAAAAAAAAATATATATATATATACAGCTTGAAGTAATATAATTACCCTTTTTATTTTCAAATCAACAAACGGATTTTGGTGCAAAAATTTTGATGCGATGAAGTTAAAAATACTTAATTGCCCTTCATAGTTTGAAATAAAGCAAAAAGTTATAAAAATAAGACTTTGTTTCTCGTCTCCCCCTTAAATCAAGGAAATGATTATATTCTTTCCAAAAATAATGTGAAAATAGTTAATTAAATAAAAATATTTTATTAATAAATATATTAATATCACAATATCATACGATTTCTTATCATAGTTATGTATTAGTAACATTTATAAATCATAAATTTTATAAATCACAACTTATTTGTCAATCACGAATTATCAAATTAATCGGTTGCATTATTTCTTAGTGATAAATTCAAATTTTATATATTACAACTTATTTTATGGTTAAAAATTATCAAAGTAATTGGTCACAAGCTAGTTCTCAATCACAAGTTGTTGGGGACGGCTAATAGAAATGGGCGGTGTTTGGGTTGGTTTTTTGATAAATTTGATTGACAAGTTTTAACCCACAAGTATCATATTAATTGATCGCAACTTATTTTTACGTTCACAATTTATCAAATTAGTTGATTACAACTTATTTATTGGTTATAAAGATATGAATTGTAGGTCACAACTATTAATTTAGTGAAAAAAAATATCCACTTTTAGATCACATATTATTTATTAGTCACAATTTGTTTGTTTTCTTTTCATTACAATTTATTCTTTTTGATGATGACAATTACCCAATAATGATCTCATTCACTCTTCATCTCAATAATTGATTAAGTGCACCTAGCCTGCATTTAAGAGTGAGGCATGGAAGAAACATCACATCTTGACTCTAAGCTCGAATTAAGTAGCTAAATATTAAGTTGACCGTCTAATGTGCAACTAAGCAAGCTTTATTTATTTATTTTTTTCATTTTTCAAAAATCTTTTATTTGACTTTAGTTTATTAATTTTATTATCCCTTTTCATTTTTAATAAACTTTTATTTGACTTTAATTCAAGGTTTTAAATGACTTTATTGATACGGAAGTCAAAAAGAACTTTTTTCAATAAAGAATTTCATAAGATTTAAGTTATTTTGCTATCTACATTATGTGATTTTGAGATCTATAATTTTATTGAAAATTTCGCAAATATTTACGAAACTTCTATAAATCTATTTAAGTAATACTTGATTGGTTGAAAATTAAAATTATAAAATGTAGCCTTTTTTTTTTTTTTTTTGTATTTCAAAAACTTGAAAATTGTATAACTGACTAATTTTGAAAATTATTAAGTAAATATAATATTTTATAATTTTAGATGTTTGGTATGTATTATTTTAATTACTAAATAATTTTTAGAATAATAAAAAATTTAAGATAATATTAACAATAAAACACTTTTTTACATCTAAACCTCGCCAAGGCTCATAAAACTTGAATCTTGGCCTATACCCCTAGCCACGATTTATACTTTTTAGAACGCTAGTATGTATAAAGATCATTTTATGAATAATACAAAGCATTTTTAAATTTAGAGAGTAATTTCTTTATATATTTCCACAATGCTCTCTTTTTTTATTCTTTATTTTTTTCACCGAACATTTAGTGATTTCTTCTCATCTCTTACTTAGCATAACTTTTTTATTATGTTAAGTGGTCAAACAATTCAAATTAATCAATTCAAATGTAATTTGAATTGTTTAAATTGTAAAGTATTAAAATTTATAACGTATTAAATGCAACCATTGTTAATTTGTGCGAGAGAGAGAGAGAGGGAGAGGGAGAGAGAGAGAGAGTTTGTCTCTCCAAATTTGGAGAGTCAAAACAACTCTTTATTTAAGAAGTTAAAAAGCTAAGTTTTCCAACAAGATTATTCTTGTTGGATACAATATTTTTCATGCAATTCACTCTCTCACTTTTTCATCTACCTACTCTCTCATCTATAGAACAATAAAGGATAAATAACATTTTCTATACTGAAAATTAAATTAATCAAACAAGTCTAATTAATAATTTTTATATAAATAAATTCTAGTCAATTCTATTGTCTAAAACTTATTTTCTTTTCATGCAAATTCCATACCAGCAATCAAACGTAAATTTTTTTTATGGAGAATTGTGTGTGTGTGTGTATATATATATATATATATTTTTTTTTTTTTACCTTGAAAAATCGCCTAGAACGCTCTAATTCCACTTCAAGTTTTAGGATTACCAAGTTTACATTCCATGCAATTTATTAATTTGACCTTACATACGGAATTGACTAATTAAAGCAACAAGTCACTTTTAATTAGTTTTTAGATGATTAAACATACAATCCAATTTCCCTATGTTTGAATGCCGCAATTATAATATGGAAAATAATAAAGAACACCAAAATTGTTGATGGAGAAACCCAACGTGGGAAAAATTTCGGGACCAAACTAATTGCCTCTATTATAGTCAATCAGGATTACAGTTAGAGGTGGACAAAATCCGACCAAATCCGACTGAACCGATCCAACCCGACCGGGTTGGTTCGGTTTTTTGTGAGTTTTTTGGTGGGTTTGGTTTGTGGCTAAGCTAGGTGGATCGGGTCGGGTCGAGTTGCAGTTAAACCATCAAACCCGATATAACCCAACCCGACCCGACCCAATTATTTAAAAAAATAATAATAATAAAACAAAACCCATATTTATCATTTATAAACATCGTCAGCCAGCAACTCAGGCAGCAAGCCCTAATTTTTATTTCCTTCTTGCTCTTCCTCTAGATCTCAGGCCTCCGCCGCCATCGATCTTCCATAATCCATTCTTCCTTTTAACTTGCCAGTTGCCAATGTTGATCTTCCATGAGTTCTATCACCAATTCTTTCAAGGTCAGGCTTTGTTGTTCAGCTGTGACCATCGCTTCTCGACCTCACTGAACATTGCACCTCTCAATTGGTAATTTGGACAGACCTTAACTGCAAGAATTTTGATTTGGACAGACCTCCAGTGAATATGGTAACTCTCTTGGCTGCTTCTATCAGATAAAGTGTCTGATTTTCATATTAGTTGAATAAAATAATCAACCAATGTGTTTTCCCCCTCTTTTCATTACTTCTATAGAATGATTTTGTTTATTGGTTTTGATTTCTTAATTCATGATGAAACAAATTACTGAAGCACATATTGTTGCTATTTAATCTTTGGGAATTGGAATATTAGTTAAGGAAATGGACACAGCCACAGACCACAGGTACAATATTCTTGCTAACTTGCATTGCGTTAATAGTTTTAGTTGAATATATCTATTTGGTGTGTTTATAATTTTGGTGGAATATGTTGGTAAATATACACACACATGTGTGTGTGTGTATATATATATATATTTTTTTATGAAATAAGCAAATATTTATTTATCTCTTCAAATATATATATATATTTCTTTTGGATAGGGTATTTGTCTTCTCAAATATCACTTTCAAGTTCAATTATAAACTTGGAATAATCATTCTCAATACATCCATTTTCAGAACGAAGACAGGAGATGTTTTAAAAAGGTAAATCTGAAATAATTAAATGTAGAACCCCAAATAATTTTAAACACTTTAGTGACACTAAGACATGAATATTAGATGGCTAAAGTATACTTCAAATTTTTAGTCTCATTTGAGACACATTTATGACATAGAAAACATTCGATTTGAAAAATGATATCTAAAGAAAAGTTGTAGCTCTTTGAGTTAGCTTTCCAATGCACTTTGAATTACCTCAATCAGGTATCGGGAGAAGAAGTTATGATAGAAATACTAAAGGTTGTATAGTATCAACCGAAGTATGTGGAATATGAAAAGTCAAATTC